CGTACGACGTAGTACGTACGTACGGTACGTAGTACGTAGTACGAGAGTAGTACGTACGCGTAGTACGAGACGTAGAGAGAGAGAGAGAGAGAGAGAGAGAGAGAGAGAGAGAGAGAGAGAGAGAGAGGAGAGAGAGAGAGAGAGAGAGAGAGAGAGAGAGAGAGAGGGTGGAAAAAGGAAATGAGGTGGCAGAAGAGAGGGGGGGCTGTTGGCATTTGGTTAGTTAGACATCAAATTTGCACACATGCTCATCTTGTCTGGGTGATTAAAACCAAAAAGTGCTTCATGGGGACATATTTTTGTCCTTCAGCAGCATTCACACACAAATCTCTTGTCCTTATACCCAAGTTTTTCTGTTATAATTTTCTTTTAATTCAGTAGGCATCAGTTATGCATCAACTATCACAATAGGTACAAAAAACATACAAAGGAAAAATCAAACAAGCAGATAAATGTATCATAGGATGGAAATAGGAAATCTCCACCCACCACCTCCATAGCATGGTAAACATCTTTCTCACTAGAAGCCCAAAGGATGTCATTGCACACATCCATAAGTAGACAACTAATCAACACTTGCCGAACCCACCACATGGCAATGGGCAAATCACCATGTTGTGCTGCTGCTGTGCTAACTCCTGAGCACTTCTAGTGAAAAGGCTCAAGAGATGACAGCAACGTAGGTCCAAAAAAGCATAAACCAGAAAAGTCTCAAAACAATAGCCTGACTTACTAAATCGCTGCTTATGTACAAATCCAAAGATTCCTATCGTTCCTCTCCCAATGCCCTGCAAAGGGGTTGAGTATGTGAGGATTGGTTGGGTGGGTTTTTTGGGGGGTGTTGAACAACAAAGCATTAGAAATCGCACATCACATTTGTTATATGTCTCTATCACCTTGACTCTAGGATTCACCAAACCAATAATACTATTTTGATATGTTAGTTATGCAATTTTTTTTTTTCTTTCTTTGGTTCATTCTTTGATGTAACACTTGTGTTGAATATCAGTTGATTTGGGTTGTATATATATGGCACCATGTTCATTAGTCCATATTTCTAGCAGTGTTTTAAATAAGTTAGTCTTTGTCTAGTCATTTATGGACATAACCATGTGGACCTGGGTAGGGTGCTGGCCGCCCCCAGGCAGTGCCCTAGGCGACTAATTGTGCGCCCAGGGTCACCGCCCCGCCCTGGGCTGAATAGCTGCTTAAGCGTGGCTGGGCAGTCGACTTTTTGAACTATGGAGATAACATCAAAGTTGTTATGGAGATGGACTAATGAGGATCCCGATGGAGGTGGTTTATCTGGACATACCGTAGGGGTATTTTATCTTGACATTTAGTGGTCTTATTTAGGATCATGTCCAGGTAGGAGTTGTTAAAAATATATCTCCATGTGCAAGGAGGGTCAGCACTAGCGGATCTTTTATTTGTGCTTGTATGGCTCATTTGATCTGTTGACTTTTAGCTGCTTTGTCGGCCTTCTTGGATGTGACATGCGTCTTGCTGAGATTGGTGGTGATCCTTGTGTACTAGTTGCTCTCCCATGAAAGAGGTAATAAGGGACACGCCCCCCAACAGAAGACCCAGTTCAATTCCACTTCAACAATAGAAATTCTAAAATGAAGTCGGTGTAAACAATCAAGTTTCGTACAAAACAACGAAATCCTAAGCCTCAGTAATCAATAGAAGCAATAGAAAAACCAAATGACAAACAAACTCTAACATGCACAATAAACCATAACAGACGCATAGAACTGCAAATTCATGAAAATAACTAGAGAGAAACCATTCAACTGCAGCTATAGCCATGACGCAGCTTCCTTAAAACTGCATAGATATAAGAAATACAAAGAAACCCCCAAAATAGAGTCAACAATTCAGTGAAAAGCTAAAAGAGTGTGAAACTATAAACCATCTTTTGTAGTTACCATACACCATACATTCAATAATATAGTTGATAGAGAAGCCCCAACAAGCCATTGATTAGTCAAATTGAAAACAGCAAGCGCAAAGGGTTTGCAGTTCTACTAGCTCAGTTTGTGGTTCAACGTGCTCAATTAAAAAAAAAAAACCTCGTATAAATCCTAACCAATGCTCAATCCATCGAATCAAAAGCAGAAAAACATGAATCATTGATCAAAATTACCACCAAAAACTTTGAATTATGAGGTTTCACTTCTTCATACATTTTCTGATGCGGGCTGCAGGATATCCACATGAAGCACATCTGCTCTTCTGAAGATGAAAACTCCGGCGCCCACACCTTATACAGATGGTGTGGGTCTTGTTCCTCCTCTTACCAAAGCTCCCTGTACCTTTTCCCTACAAATTTAGGGTTAAAACAACACCAGAAACCATGAATTATCATCTTCTAAATCTTTAATCCTGAACAAAATTCACCTTGCTTTCGATTTGAATATGAGGCCCGGGTTCAGTGTTTTACCATGACGAAGATTGTTCTCTGTGTTCTCTTCTAGGTCGCCCCTTCGCAGAAAAGGCTGCGAGAGAGAACCTCTGCCACCTTTCTTGTGGAGTTGAGAAACCCTAGAATATCAATATATAACAATGATAAATGGAAATAGGGAAAATACGGTTAGGGCCCATGGTTTAAAAAGCCGATCTGTTATTCGGATCCGGCACCTTAAAAACAGATTTGGATCGATGAATCGGCGATTCAGATCGAGAATCGGCTGAATCGGTCGAATTAAAGCTTCAAAAAAATTCAAAAAAATTATTAAATTTTATTATAAATATTGTTTTTTTAGGAATCCAATAAAAAATGAGAGTACTACATTAGTAACTTTTATTTTTTTTCATTAATTTGTAAATATTGATATACTCTTTCCCTGTATGAACTTACGTTGACCATTAAATTTACATCACACAAAAGAAATCATAGAATTATCATGGATTAATTATAAAATCATATGTGGACTACAATAAAGAGTTGACTAAATCGATGAAAATTCGAATTGGTAGAAAATCCTACTCCGCTAAAAAAACTCAAATTATTACAACCTAACTAACTATAATATTATATACCATTAATATTTTATAATTATTTTATTATATAAATAATAACAAATCCAAAATATTTTATAATATCATCTAATTTAAAATGTATTATTAACAATTGTAAGAAAAATAGTACACTACATGATTTATAATACAAAAAATAATAAATAAAATAAAATATTTGATTATCAATGTAGAAATTATTAGAATGCATACCAATTTTCTTTAATTTTTAAAGTTTCTAGAATAAATTAGTAGAAAAGATTGTTAGCAGAAAGAGAGATTTCAAATGATCTCATTGTATGAATCCTATCTTTAAATTAATATTACTAAATTTATGTTAAAGACCATCATGTTATAAAAATAAAAAATATAATTAGACCATTTATTCCTAAGTTGTATTAAGAAATACCTTTTATTTTTTTGACAATAAATACTTATTGTATTATCTTTTTTTTTTTTTACAAGAAAAATATGATACTTGTTGATTATCTTCTTCTTCTTTTTTGACAAAAGAAGAAGACGTTGTACTACATTTTTTTTTGCTTGTTATATTACTTCTTTTTTTTTTTACAAGAAAAATAAAAAAATGATGCTGCCAAAGTACATTTTATTTTTTTATGCCTTTTTTTTTATTTTTTTACAGGAAATACTTGTTATATTACCTTGTATTTTTTTTACAATAAAAATAAAAAAATGTTGTATTATATTTTTTATCTTTATCTTGAAAAACCTTTTATTTTTTATTTTTTCTAATTTTTTACAACAGTATTTTCTGCCTTTGTTTATTTTTGTTGTCAAAAAAATTTTTTATGCCTTTTGTTTTATTTTTTTGCAATAAATACTTTTTATATTACCATGTATTTTTTTTACAAGAAAAATAAAAAAATGTTGTATTATATTTGTTATCTTTATCTTGAAAAGCTTTTTATTTTTTATTTTTTAAGA